ACCAAGGCTGTCTACAAGCACACATTTCTGGTGATGTGTGAAGAGGGTTCCCACAACCTGGACCAAATGATTCAATCAAATTAGTATTGTTGAGTTTTAGCTGAAAAGGAGAAAGTACACTACTAGATTCAATGTGACAAATCCATGCCTGTTGCTTGAAAATACTGAGCTTATTGCTTGCATAACGTGGAGATAGCACACAATGAACAGTGGAATGTTTGAAAAACTTCTTAGTTTCCTCATCATGAGTCTGCATGACACCATCCTGCAATAAACAAACTACATGTTATATATTAATCTCAGTGACACAGGTATACAAAGTTGTTATGCAACCATATCTACATTACAACAATCCATGAAGGAAATATCAAGAGTCTAACACCTCAACTCAAAGTTCATGATGATGCACAAGGCAGTCTAAGCAAATCCACCACCATAAAGAAGAAGCATAACTACGTTTTACATCAGAACCCGCTTCTATCCTAAATAGGACTCTTCTTTGAACAACTTTATGGTATGAAAGTAATATAAAGGATATTTTGTCCAATGAGTTAAACTTATTTAGCAAACGGAGCAATAATTTAGGACCAAGAAAACACTAACTTGGATAGAATTTGTTGAGGAAATCAATAGACATCACTGTGATCAGGGTAAAGAGATTACTGTTTTCAGAAGAAACTTGTCATGTGAAGTTCTGTCGTCCCAAATCAGCACAACCACTCGGAGTCCTTCTTGTGACTTGTATTTCAATAGCTCTCCAAGTGAAAGCTCTCCCCCTGAAGGTACTGGTTTTGTTGCCTCTCTGATAAGCCTAACTGGGTGGTAAACTGACCATCCTATAATGTATATCATGTGATGAGCTTCCAAAATTGCATGACATATGTCTTCCCAACATTTATTTTGCTGAAACACTTTTCCACCCTCAAGTGGGATTTCAGGTATCATACCATCTGGCATATGTGCATCTTGATACAGAGTCACACTCCCTCCTTTCCTGAGAGGGAAATAGGTTTTAGAAACTCCTAAATATGCTGTCCCATCCTCATTCATTACTTTTTGTGTACGGTTCACTGCAATTGGCTTATATTGAACAGAAAGATGCAGTTCAGGATAAGGTTTTAAGCAGCTTCCATACTGACCAATGATGGGAAACCAATCATTGATAGCATTACCAGAAATTATCTTGTAAACTGGTATCTCCACCACCCCAATGAGTTCAGCCCCCAGAATATCATTATCCTTCACAAGAAACTCCACTTTATGAGCAGGGTGAGCAACGGGCACAATAAATTGCTCATCCCAGCAAGGGTTCTCACAGTTAGGAATCACTCTAGTTCGAGCAACGGTTGCCCCAGCTATGCATACTGAAACATAAGGGTCACTTGTTATCATCTTATCTTTTCCACCGTGTGACTTTAGTCCTTTCATAAATGGAGGATGGCACACGTTGCCCAAAGTCACACATTTTCTAACTGCTTCAGAAGATAAATCTAAATTTGGAAGAGACTTGGCTTCAATTATCAACAGATCCAAGTCACCATGTAAGAAAACCGCCTCACGATGGCCTTCATGCTCCCTTGGACAGCCTTGGGAAGTGCCATGAGAATCCATTCCAACCTGAGAACTCAATGATGCATGTTCTCTAAATCAAACACTTTATGTTCATGTTCTAAAATCCAAATTCTAGATGCAAAAGCATTATGGAGAATGATTTAAAAAATGTAACATGTTTATCACCTTAAGATCCTTTCAGTTATCTCATGTCATCATCTTTTAGCCCTAAGGAAAACATGCATGAAGCCATGTTCAACATGTTTCTTCAACAAGTTCTCAGGTCCCAGTCTCTTCAAACAGAAGAAGAAAATTGATTACCTGGAGAAAAGAGGCATGCAGAAGAAGGCAATGGTAAATAAAACAGGAAAAATAAATGAAATTTGGGTGTATATGGATTCATGTAACAATGTTGCAATTCAGAGCATGGTCCAACACCGCGTCCACAAGCCGAAAATGGTGCCAAATTTCATGGATTCCAGAATTGGCAAATTCCAAACCAAAACCATGTATGGGACTAAAAAATTGACAAAATTTAAGAAACAAATATCAAAACAGAAAGAGATTAGACAGGTGTCACTCTTTTTTTAATAACAAAATAAATAATAAACTCAATAATCTTTCTCATTTATTTACCAATATAAAATGCTTTACAATTCCGGTTGAGAAATCTGCTTTGGAAACCAATTTCTCAACATGTTTTATTTTTTAAATTTATTTTTAAAACCTTTTTGAGAAATGGGATTATCGATTTCTAATTGGCGCCATTAGTTTTAAAGTTTTTTTTATGTATTTTGATTTTAAAAGTTAGTTTAGTTATTTTAAAATTTGTTTTTGAAGTAAAAATAAAAAATAAACAAAAAATATTTTTTTAATTTGGAAAATTAAATATTTTTTTAATACAATTGAAAGCTTATTTATAAATGGAACCACTTATAAAATGAAATTTTAGAATTGATAATGTATTTAAAATAGTGAACTTAATGATTTTAATATTAAAACATTAAATTATAAATAGAAAATTTATAAATAAGTTTTATTACTTTAAAAATACTCGATTTTTTTATAAATTATTTTTCTAAAGTCTTTTGTCTTCTTTCTATTCTTACTTTCTGTTTGTGTAAAGATTAGAAATCGTTGAAGTGATCATTATGACGATTTATTCCTTTTTGTTTGATTAGTTTCTTCATTCAAATAAGTTAGTTTTTTATTTTTTTCTTTATCCAATATGTTTCTCTTCTTACATGCAAGTTTTGTTGGTTTGGTTGTAGCCTTTAAGTCTTTGTTGATTAATGATCATAATGGTGTGATCTAATAGTTTTTGTAATGTTTTTATGCATAGATATAATATCATGTGAAGTTAAAGGCATTTCAGTAGGTTAAAAGCTATTAGAACTGTTTTGCAGTCAAGGAAAGCTACTATGTGTTTATAATTGTTGTGAATTTTATTATTGATCTTATGATATTTTATTTTAGTAATAATATTTTATTAAAATGAGATGTCATAATAAAATTAAAATAAGCAATTATATAAAATAGAAAAAAAATATTTTTAGTTTAATGAAAAGTATATTAAATATTCGTAATTATGAAAATCCAGTTTAAATAACATATAAGGATTTTAAATAATGATAAAGAATTCTGAATTTATAATATAACCAATGTGACATTTATATAATATTTTTTAAAGTAAATTGCTATGAAAAATAATAAAATCATTCTTAATAACTCATGTTTAAAATAGGAATTCTAATGAATTTAAATTATATAGATGTGGAGTAGATAGTTATGGTTATTTAATTGTTAATTTATACAAACGGATAAATCAGTTAACCAATTATGTATTTTCTTATTATCTGAAATAAATTAATGTTGAATATCAAAAAAAAAAAATTAACATTAGCTTGGATCAATATGTATATGAGAAAAAAAAAAATTCAAGAAATAGGCTTGATTGAATTAAATAGAATTTATATAGTATGAAATAAAACTAGTTTATGGTTGATGGCTTGAATTCTTGTATGCTGAAGACTTTTTAAAGACATGAATTTATATGAATTGAACATATTTTAGGATGTTCATCTATTCCTTTTGCTATAAGATAACTTTGTATGATTCTTTTTGCTTCAAATACTTTTGGATTAGAGATTGGGGATTATTTGTGGTTGATTATATTATGACTAATAACTTTCCTTGTTAAATAATCTTGTATACACATTATATACATATTTTGATGCGTACATGAGATGTTTGTAACATAGATACATTTTTAAATTGATGAGATATATAATTTTTAAAATTGTTTACAGAAGTTGATCACATTTGATCTAGTCAAATTGTTAATTGATGTTATCATGTCACAAATCTTTTAATAACTCGAGGGCCAACATGTTTTTCATAAGGAGAATTATTTTTTCTGGAAATTCACTTGTGATGTGAATGTAGTGGTCTGTTTTACCATACCTTTGATTTGATCAGATAATCAAGAAAACAAAAAAATAATGAATTATATAACAACGAAAATATAAAAAGTTTACATTGTTTTTTCATGTAACTGTGCTAGACACTTGCGATCCAAAATTATGAGCCACGATTCTATAACACAATAGGATTAACCATCTATATAAGTGATTCTATAACATATTACAATAATTATTAAGACTGCAGATTATTATCTGCCAAAAACGCTATTGTTATTCTCTACAGAGGCTACCACCTATATAATGAAAAATTACACAATCAAAGTGCAGTGCATGACCTAAAAGCCAACAAAATTGATAGCCTCGTTAACCTGTAACAAATAAACTAACAGAATAATTACTCAAAATAAGATTTACAAAATCACATTACACATACTTCCTGCATTGATCGAAACAAGACAACAATGTAACTTTTTTGGTCTCACTCAACTGGGCATTAGTCAAACCAGTTAATTTTCACAGCAAAAGTACGTTATGTAGCAGCATGTTGGATCTCATAGGACATTCGTTAGAACGAGAGCAAAAGGACATGCATGCACTGCTAGATATAAAATAATGATGTTCAAAAGTCAGAACCATTTATAGTTTTTCAAGGTGTACTTGAATGTACAAAATGCATATGATAGAGTTTTGGCTTCGGACATTTTAAAGCTTTCAAGGTGAGAATCAATGCAAAAGGAAACCTGGGAGGTTCAAACCTCATTTTGGATTAGGCAATCACTTATGTTGTATGATTGGATGCAAGGAAAGGTGCTAGAGTTTGGCTTGAAACGAACTAAATAATATTTAGTAGATAAGAGTATTTTTCCTGCCAAAAAAGGAGAAGAAAAAACTAGAATACAACTAATGTTGCTTATTTGGCTTTAGACAGAGAGAATATTCACGTTTCAAAAATTCTGCAACTTCGCTTGCATATTTGCACCCCAGGCAAAACAAAAAAATACAATGCATTAAGAGTTATAACTTCCATGCAAAAAAACTCATTCCTTTTGTGATTAGGTGATAATATTTGAACAAAAAACTATCCCATGATACCTATCTATGATTAGGTAATATTGATAATAATTAGCACTACCAGTAGTCCCCACACGAGCAGGATCCATCACGAATATGATGAAACCGATTGGTGTCTCTGACTATGATTTCCCTCTTAACCACCAATGACACATATTTTATTGCTGAGTGGCAATCACCACAAACCCTAATATTCTTCATAATGCGTATAATAGATCCAGGAGGAGTATTCAGAAGGGCAAATGCAAGAGCCAGCTTCTCACTATGATACTGCAAATTCAATTCCTTGTCTTGTTGGTCTACAAACAGAAGCACATGACTAGTGTCAGGAACATAGCCAATCTCTTTAATTTTCTGATTTAGCTCCTCCCACAATTTATGGATCTTATCTTTCTGTGGATGGGCAAGGTCATTAGCCACAAACACGTGAACAGAATTTTCAATCTCAACCCAGCTACATGCTTGTTCCTTCTTCAGTCCACTATCTTTCATTATCTTTCTGACTTTTGCAACGTCCTCCCACCTCCCAACAGAGGCATAAATATTGGCGAGTAATGTATGTGTCCCTGGATAAGAAGGATCGAGCTCAAAAACCCTCTGGGCAGCATATGCGCCCATTTTGGTGTTTTTATGCATCTTGCAAGCACCAAGCAAAGCACCCCAGATAGCCACAGAGGGCTCAATTGGCATTCGTTCTATGAAACTCTTTGCCTGATCAAGAAGACCAGCTCGACCAAGAAGATCAACAATTGCCGTGTAGTGTGAGACTTCTGGTTCGATATTGTACTTTCTCATCAATCCAAAATAATGTTTACCCTCTTCCAAAAGTCTAGCACGGCTACATGCAGTAAGAACAGAAAGGAATGTTATATCATTAGGTACAATTCCAAACCTTATCATTTCTTCAAAATGTTGCACTGCTTCCTTCCCAAGCCCATGCTGGGCATACCCTATCAGCATGGAATTGCAAGAAACAATATCAACTTTCACCAACTTGCCAAAAACCTTCTCTGCATCCCAAATGCTGCCCGACTTTGCATACATGTGAAGTAGGGTGTTCCCCACATAACCAACCAACTTCTTACCCGATTTCATCAAATGCGCATGAAGCCATTTCCCTTGCTCCAAACACCCCATACTCGAACAAGAACCCAAAAGTGCCGAATAAGTAAACTCAGTTGCCTTGTAACCTTCCCTTTGCATCCTCACAAACATAGCCAACGCCTCCTCTCCTTCACCCTTCCTAGCATGACCTGTTATCAAAGCATTCCAAGAAACCTCATTCTTACAACCCAACTCATCAAAAACCAACCTTGCCTCCCCTAAGTAGCCACACCTAGCATACATATCCACGAGGGAACTCCCCACAAACACATTAGAGTGACATCCAAACTTCCAACAACAAGCATGAATCTGCTTCCCATAACCATAACTTGCTATAAATCCACAACATTTCACCAAGCTCGACAATGTGAACTCATTCGGCTTCGCACCCTCCCGGAGCATCTCGGGAAACAACACAAGTGCGTCATTGGCGCTTTCATTCTGAGCATAGCCAGTGATCATGGAGGTCCAAGTGACCATATCCCTGCACGGCATTTCATCAAACAGGCGGCGTGCATCTTCCAAACTGCCACACCTTGCGTACATGAAGAGAACAGAGTTCTGAATAACGAGGTCATCTTTGAACTCTGAATTAAGAATGTGGAAATGCACTAGTTTTCCTTCTTTAAGCTTTCCCAACTGGGTGCACCTCTTTAGCAACGTGTTATACAAGCTTCTGTCCGGTTGGAGCGAACCGCACTGAATGAGGTCCAGAACGTGAAGACCGAATTTGGAGCTGTTCAGACTCCGTCTCAGAATGTTCCTGTCGTCTATAACGCGTGATGAAATCTCTGAATCTGTGAGAGTTGCTGGAATCGCAGATTGCCAAAGTGTGCGACACGAACCCAAATGTCGTTTTATAGATTTATCTGCAATTGCAAAGAAAAATCAACACACAATGGATAAACTACAATGGAGCAACATTTGAAAACCCGAAAAAAAACACAATGTTTCACATTTGATCATCCCTTCCTCAAATTCTTGTTTGTACTTCGGACCAAAAGTCACTAATATTTGAAACCTAAATAAATAAACACTAACCATATTATTAAGTAAATAAATAATCTTTTGGAAAAAGAAATACTTATATTTCCCAAATTTTACCTCTTTTTGTTAAACTTTATAATAAATAATAGGTTTTTTTTTTTTACATAAACCTAGACTTCATTTAATTTTGGGCATAATTTTGTAAACGTGGAAGTTTAGTCCTCATAAAAATTGAATTGTATATATAGGCTTATAGTTTTATAAAATTGAGCAACTCATGTCCACAAATAAACTATATAAAATCTATGATAAAAAAAATGTTGATCTTTCTATAACTAATAATAATGCTAGTTGATATATTAATATAGAATTGAAATTATTAACTTTTGAAAAATTGAAAGACCAAACATATATTATTATATTTTTATAAAAACAAAAATTAGAAATTAACAAAAATCAGATTCCGATTCATTCTTCATAGAAAAATTCAAGGCAAGGAGTTGCAACCTCTGTCACCCTTTAATAATGAATGAAATTGAGTTTATATCTTTAGTTGGTCTTATTTTTCTGTATTCCGGATATTATTACTCGTAGTGTTGCCCTTTGTTTCACTGCTGTGCGGAACTTTTCCTTTTCTCTTTACTTTTTTTCTCAGAATTTGCGATTGATTCTGGCTTAATGTCTTGTTGCAGATCTTTGGGTCATCTTTTGGTGGTTGCAGGTAAAGAAATCTGGTTACTTTCCAGCTAACTACCCACTTTTTTTCTCTTGGGGTTGCAGATCTAAACCTCCTGTGTGTTCTTCTCACTCTTGCATAACTGAGATTTTTAGTTTTGCTGTTTTGATTTTGATTTTTCAGATAAACGGAGTGTTTAGTTTGCAATTTTTGACAAATGGGGGAAACGATAGGGCCTCGCTTATACTGTTGTTGTAACTGTAGGAACCAAGTCTCCCTCCATGACGATATAATTGCTAAAACCTTTCAGGTAGGGATTTTATTTTCGTGTATCTTTATCGAAAATTTATAAATTTGTGGATATTTGATGAAAATGTTACTTGTTCTTGCGTTTCATATGATGAGATTTTACCCATGCTTTCTCTACTGGTTAGTTTGTTTGTTATCGGTGCTGATAAAATGGTGAATTATAAATCTCCTGGTGTATTGTGCTTTGTTTTAGTTTGTTTTTTTTTTGAAGAAGGTAAAGTGGTGGCAGGGGTAAGATCATGATCATATTGTTTGATTTCTAATGCTTGAGGTGAAAAGAAGATATAGAAAAAGAGAAAAAGTAAAGTGCAATGTTATAAATGTTGGAAGTCCAAAATTGTCTCATGTAAACTCTTGGGGTCTATTGTGTTTTCATGGTGAGTTTCCCTTCATGAATTGGCTATGGTAGTTGGCAAAACTTCCCCATGGTAGAAGTAGAAAAATAACTGAGCGGAGAGTATGGTAGACATGAGAAAGAAGAAAACAATTCATAGAAAAACTTTTCATTTTGTTAACATGAATCTTTGGCCCAGTAGATTAGAAGCACTTGGGAAATATAGTTGAAGTTAAGGTCTGTAAATGAAGGAAAACAGTGTCAGTGTGTTTTAATGTGACTGGATCCCAAACCCAAGAATGTAAATTTCTCAGAGGTCATTTTGGGGAGATTGTCTATGTATATGAAGACATTTTAAGCTCCTTTTAAACTTCCTTAAAATAAACTCATTTTGGCTTACAGGAATATGTTAATGTTAACTTCACCATGTATGCTAGCATGTTCTAAACTTATGGACCAAGTGATTGTTTGAGAATGAACTCTTTTCATAAGTTAAAACTAATGTACAAAAATTCTACAAAAAGTAGTTTATGTAGAAGTCATAAGTATGAAAATTTTATCTAATTTTTCTTTCTTACTTTTGTTCTTCTGAAAGTTCTTGAAAGGAGTCATGTCAGATACTGCTGCACATACATGTTTAATACTTTTAACTTCATTTTATAATTTTTAAACATGCATTTTATAAACTTCATGTTTATTATAGTGCTGATGAGAGTACCTTTATAATACTATAATTAGGTAATCTTTTTCATTTTGTTATAAGTTTATGATGCTTTACACTCTTTTATGAAACATTATATCTTTCTCCCGGTTTAAACTATTTATTTACATTATGTTTTGATTACTTTATAGGATGATTATATTGTTCTGATGTTATATGTCATATATGTGCTCCCTAGCTATATGTGTTCTTTTCCCATGTCTTTATCTAACAGTTATTTGATACTAATGTTTTGATTAGGGAAGGTATGGTCGAGGTTTTCTGTTCTCTCATGCAATGAATATTGTGGTAGGGCCAAAAGAAGACAGACACCTCATGACTGGCCTACATACTGTTGCTGATGTTTACTGTGGAGACTGCCATGAAGTGTTGGGTTGGAAATATGAAAGAGCTTATGAAGCATCACAGAAGTACAAGGAAGGAAAATTCATACTTGAAAAATCCAAAATTGTAATGGAGAACTTTTGATTTTTCCTTAATATATTAATCATCATGATGTCATCTTAAGATTACGAGCTGTCTCAAATTTGTCAATTGTGTTTTTTAATTTGATATGATTGGTAGTATGAGTACAACTGATATTGGAAGATAATATGTTTATCCCTTGTCCATAAAATTGTATGCCAACTTGTATATGGGATGGACAAATTCTTTTTTACTTCAATTTTTTTCATTTTACATCTCATAAATATAAAATTTGTGTTTTCAATTCGAAATTTTGTATCATACAATCCGAAAATAATATTTTATGTAAAAAAAATGTTTTGATTATGTAATTCGAAAGAAAAAAAAATTATATAGGGGTAACTTTTTTGTGTCTAAAACAAATACCCAAAATGGACTGGAATGCAATTAAGATATTTTCTTGAGACAGATTGTAATTTAGATTATCAAATAGGTTGATTTCCAGTTCTAGATTTATTTTGCTTCTTAGGATTCTGTGCGGAATAGATTCAGTTTCAGTCCTGACTTTACCTTTGCTTTGTTCTGTTCTTGCCAATTAAAATTTACTATTGTTATTTGTTTTTTTTTTCTATTGTTGCCAATAAGAATTTATGTTTGTTACAATTATAAAAGTTACTGCTTTCTTGTAGATTTTTCTTGATTAATCTAAAGTTAAAAATGACTTTTAGATTGTGTACTTTGGAAGTAAGATGTAGTCAGAGTTATTTTTATACTAGTCATCTTCTTTAATTTTCAAATTTTGACTTTTTTATTATACAGTTTAAAATTTATTTTAGTTTACATTCATTTTTTCTAAAATTATTTTTTACTTTTAAGTTGTATATTTGAAAGATATTTGAAAAAAAATTCAAAATTAGGTATTTTTTAAAATTATACAATTTTAAAATCTTCTAACTTTTTCAATTTAAAAGTAATTTTGACTTCTAAATTAAATGAAAATTTTTATATTCAATTGAACATTATTTAAAAATGTAATTAAATTCATTTACCCCATTTTAAAAATTCAACCAAGAATTGTCCCATAAAAAAATGTCAATATAGTTTTTTATTTTGAGCTATAAAAATATTTTTTTAAATCATATTTAGTTAATCTATAATTTTATATTAAATCAAATATTATATCACTGTTCAATAACATTTTTTAATAATAAATTTGGATAGATTATATATATATATATATATATATATATATATATATATATATATATTAAAAACTATTTTTAGTTAGAGAATATAAATGTGAGACAGATAATTCACTAGAAAATATAGATGTCAGAAAACCATGTGTTTGAAGTGGATTAACAAATTATATAAAATGTGTATTTAACTGGTTTTTTTATCCCGACGATAACTTAAATTATTTTTTTTTGTTAATTATAATAAATATAATTAATTTCAACGTAGGAATGAATTGTTATCAAAACATAGAAAAATAAATAGAAAGAGATAGAAAATAAAATATCAATACAACCATAACAAAAAAAATATATATATAACAGAGAAAATCACGAAACTATCATGATGAGAGAGAAAATAGATTTTGAAAAAACATCACACAATGAGAGTGAGAGGAAGAGAGTAACATCAAATAATAAAAAGAAATAAAAAAATGTAATCAAAGCATAGAACAGAGAACTAGCTTAAAAACCCTAAACTTAAAAAACATAGATCGATTATCAAAAGTGAGAAAACCATAGATATAAAAGACACATAAAAAAAATAAAAAGAATAAGAAATAGATAGCAACAAAAACAATTAGTTGAAAAAACAAACAAAGATAGACATGAAAACTATGTAAAATGTCTTTAAATTGTAGGTTAGGTGTCTTTGTTGATAACTTTACTTAACGAATCAATCAAGAAATGGTCATAGACAGAACATTTGTTCAGAAACTTAACATTAAACAGTGACAAAATTAGTAAACAATCAAACAATAAAAGAAACACTTTCATGAAAACCACATACACAATGAAACTGTGTTTTATGCATGTAATTGTTTTTCCTGTAAGTGGTGTGAAGTTTTTAATAACAAAAACAAAATGTTGTCAACAACTAATAAGCCACCAATAAAAAAATGAGATGTATATAATTGAAAATGAATTTTGAAAAAAAAAGAATGAAACCACCTCAAAATGAAAAAAATGATTACAATTATAACCAGGATATACTTAAATGTGTATTCATATAAAAATTGTTACCATTAAAAAGGCATAAAATATGTCACTAACAATGGGTCTCATTGATGTAAAGAGATGAAAATAATTTAATTCAAAACAAACTAAGATAAACATGAAAACCATGTAAAATTGTCTTTAAATTGTAGGCTATGTCTTTTAGTGTTCACAACTTTATGATAATGTCAACACATAGTGAATCAACCAACAAAATGGTTAAAGACATAACATTTGTTTAGAAAATTGACATTAAACAATAACACAAATGGTGATTAATGTTGCAAAACTCCTAAATAAAGAATTATAAATGATAGGATATTTGACTAAATATTTGATTCTATTTAACTCCTCCTCTCAAACTGGTGGTGACATTGTCATACCAAGTTTGTC